AACTCCTCCATCATGGTTGTTTCTCCTAACCACTTGTGGTTTGGCTTGACTAATGGTTCTACTATAATTTCCTTCTTTTGACTGTTCCTCATTCAGTTCAGGTTACACAACTGGTATAGTAGGTTCATATCTATTCTCTAGAAGTAGACGCCTTGTCTCCTCCATTAGCCTGACCTGTATCATTCCCTGAACTCCTGCCATTGTGATAGGTTATGGTACAGGTGCGGCGACTGGTGTACGCTCAGGCTCAGGCTGTTGGTTTCTATTACCATTTCCCAATCCACTACGAGTTCTCACCATGGCATTTTTCATACCAAACCAGTCGTTAAACGTACTGGGACGCATCTATATGTGATAATCAAGGTTTTAGTTATGTATATCCTCCTTATCACTCCGAAAAGTTACATGTCAGTTCTAATACAATAAATAAACGTTTAGAATCCTGAACACATAAAATTTCTTAAATCATGGTTGGTAATAGACCTTAAGTCTAATCAAGTAATAGCAACTTAGGTAGGAAACCTAAATCAATCTATAATACAAATTATTTAGCATATAACAACAAATTAGGCATCTTATCCTAAAGTAAGCTAGTGTTTTGTGTCAATTCAGGTATACAACCTAGAATATTTTTAGACAAACACATCACCATCATCACTTAACATTCTCAGTTTAAGTCTATAAATCCTCAAAGTTCCTAGTTCGCTTAAACTAATGCTCTGATACCAATTGTGACATCCCCAATTTCACGGCCAGAAAAGATTGATTTGTTTATGCTTATTTAAATTAGAGTATTATTTTCAAAGTAATAATGCAGAATTTGTTCCCAAAAACATGACAATATGATTATCAAAGCATTTTCGAGGAAATGTATTTCATTTATATTTAAAAACAATGGGATGTCATGGTCAATACAACAACATAAGCATAAACGTAATATTACAGGACTTACCATAGATTATTATTCTAATGGCCTATTCCCCTTTAAACCTCTCTCCGGATTTAAACTCATCACACTTATGCTCTTAGAGCATCTCCAAACCACTCCCATTCTCCATTATTTCCCCCATTTCTTCCCCCATTCCTCTCCAACCCTACCCCATTTATTCCCCCATTTTGGGGGAAATGAATAGTATAACACCATATTTGGTGTTATAATATTCATTTCCCCCAAAATGGGGATGAACTTTGAGTTGTCGGTTTTACTTCCTCGTTTTATATATTTATACATTTTTTGTTTTTTTATCTACTAATTTATTATTTAAATGTAATACTTAATACTTATAATATTGTGTTATATATTAAATTATATTAATTAATTATAAATATAAAGTTTGTTTTTTTTAACAAATTCATATTAAATTTTAAATACGTAATGAAATTTTCAAACACAAAAACGTATAATTACGTATTATAAATATAATCTTATTTATTTAATATTATTGTAATGAAAAAAATATAGATTATATATTTGTTAAAACCAAATTAATAGAAGGGGTGTGTTTGACAATTTATATAAATTAGAAAAATAGAATATACTTTTTGGGGGTAAAAATGGGTTAAAAATGGAGTAGGGTTAGATATGAAACACTATGTACCCCATTTTTTACTCCATTTTTTTGGGAATAAATGGAAGTGGGTTGGAGATGGTCTTACGATGCTACCTGTGATACATAGAAACTGAGTGGGTCAGGCTTGAGAAAGCCTGGTGAACACATAGGGTTTTTAACTCACAAATAATATAATTAATTTGTTTTAATTATACATTTCACCATAAACAAATAACATAGTTACCCATTCTCGTTACTCTTATTCTCCGGTTCTATAATGATGATCTCAAGAGACCACCTGTGAGCAACGATAGACATTGTTGCTTCGGGGATTCCTTAGCAATACATGTCAATAAGGCAACCATGAGGGGGATAGAGTACACCGAATGAACATACTGTTCATTAAAACCTACAGGTTGCGAATCTGCTAGTGTTCCCACTGGATTGTCTAGAATAGTCATTGGTCGTCATCTATACTCTGCTAGATGACAATTCACCATTGGCACAACAGTACCTGAATGCCCTCACCCTTTTATTATTTCACCTTTTAAACCCCATCACTACCCAATATGTTTAAGATATGATAAAATAAATAATTTAGTATTTTATCAAAAATCGGGTTTAACCAAATAAGCCAAGTAAAACACAAGTATTGTAAATACAAGTAATAAACACATGTAGCATTTAAGCAGTTAAATACTTGTATCCATGTGTAAGTTAAAAATAACTATGCACTGACTTGGATAGTTAGTGGAAACTAACTACTATCATGGCTTCAAACTTAGCGCTGATTGTCAACTTATTATCTTGCCGAAACCTTAATCTTTGGTTCTATAATTCAAAAACTTCTTTATGATATCTATTTATTTGTTTCATTGAAAAATGTTGATTGGATGTCTATTTATCCTCAAAGTCTTTTAACAAGGTTCAAAGAATCCATACGTTTTCAAAAAAAGCAAGTCATCTTATATATTGACATGTTGCCCCTAATTAATTTGAAGTTGTACACTAGTGATTAGTTAGTCAACATGAAAGACCCCCACACTTTCATACTAAATACATTATTACTCCAAAACATGATACATGCATATTCAAAAAGAATATTTTACATTGATAATTTGATTACAAAAGACTGGATACAAACCGACTAAGTTTTAGTATATTACATAACTACCCAGGATATTAAAGCTTTCATACAAACGTAAACCCAAGTACAAAAGTAATAGTATAAACTATTCTAAATCTTCCAACAGTATATGACTATACTGGATGCTTATTACCTACAATTGTTAAACACTGAGAGGGGTAAGCGGTGACGCTCGGTGAGTTCAATAATAGATACAATATAACGTTATGTCATATATATACTTCAATATGGCAGAAGCAAAGAGGAACAAGGAACAACAAAGGCATATGTGAATCATGCGACAAGCTTTCCATATCAATCGATGATTTGATTCAATGACATACAATCAACGAGACATAACAATTTCAATACTTGATATACATCAATAAAGCTTCAACCCAAATGGCACAGAAAATACAAATTTCGGATTATCATTTTGCTAGAATATACAGGCTTTCAGTCCTACATAGCCCTATGCCAATACCTGAAGTTATATGAGTCATGCTCTACGTGGCCAAAGGCACATAGCAAATACCAGAAGTTATACGAGTCATACACCACATGGCCAAAGGCATAAATCCGATACCAGAATAATACAGGAAAGCACATTGAACATATAACACATAACATACAATTTTCCCTATATTGAACTCACTGTGAAATAATCGAATCATAAAAAGATAATTTGGGCAGCACTTCACCTCTAAATATTACATTCTTTGATGAAAATGGGGAATTTTAGTTGAAAACCGGCCTTACGCGGGCATAGTTTCGACTTGAAAATATTATTTTCTCGGGCCTTCGGAGTGTCGGGACTTGCTTCGGTTGTCGGGGATGACACCGGGACTTCGGGGGTTAAAAGTAGGCTAAAGAAGGGTTTTAGAGTGAGAGAAGGTAGGGTTTGTAATCAAAAACCCAGAGGTCTTGCTCACTGTTTATAGTAGTTGAAACCCGAATTACGCTTGGCGTAATTTTCAAGTACGTTGGGCGTACTGCTCTATTAGCCATTACGCTGGGCATACAGCTTAATACGCTGCGCGTACCCTGATGCGTTGCATCAGATGTGTCAAACATGTGTGATACATGTCGATTGCGACGAATAGGCGATGTGGCCAATCTCAGACCGTGAACACGAGTATGTTGGGCGTACTCATGTACGCAGGGCATACTCCGAATTCCAAAACTTCAAAATTTTGTAACTTTCGCGTACGAGCTCTGTTTTTGACGTTCTTTATATCCACGCGTAGGTGAGATGATACTCTACAACTTTTGTTTAATCTCCGTCGGCTAATTTTGACTTTATTTTGAAAGTTATATTTTTAACGGGCCGGAAAAGGAAAAGTCCGTTAAAAATTCATAACTTCTTCATCTGACATCCGTTTTCATCTGTCTTTTTACCGTTGTACTACTATTGACGAGATCTTTGATTCTCGTTTAGGTTGTGTCGGCTAAAAATCACTTGATCTTTATTTCGAGTTTCGGGTTGTGTACTGCTATGCCGATTCTTAGAAAAATCATAACTTCCTCATATGAAGTCAGATTTGGACGTTCTTTTTAAGACAATTCTCGATTTAACGAATACTACGAATTTCATTTAGATCACTAAAGATAAAAAGTAGTTTATCGAAAACTCACTTTTTACGTCATATGGCGTCGTGCCGGTTCTGTCGCGAAACTTCAAATAGTCATAACTTCTTTGTTATAACTCGGATTTCGATGAGGTTTTCGCCTAAATGTTTCTAACGAGATTCTTTACAACTTTGAATAATATAATTTTACTTATTTTCAACTATATATATTCGTTAATTTCAATAGTTAACTTTTGATCGGAATCTCATAAGACTCCCGATCACTTTCTGAACCATTCTAAACATAGTTTTACTTCAATTCTAGTAAAAACTATATGTTAGAACTCAACGCTCATAATCATATAATATTTCATAATATTATTAAAAGTTACAAAACACGATAACTGAACGTATATGTTACACAACGTGTACCAAATGATCTTTCCATATAAACTTTCATAGGTGTTCTTTTTAAGTATGAATCACAAATATGCATAAACTTCACAAACTTATTTTTTTTCCTTTATAACTATTTCACTATTTACTACAACTTATTAACATATTATATAAGTGGACGTTTCTTTTCTATTATGACTAAATATCATAATATTAATTAACTTATATATATAATATACAAAAATGTTTTTGTCTAAAACTTTGATCGTGTAGTTCACGCAGACAATTTTTTTAGCGCGTGAAAAGGTGTTCTTCCACTCTCACTGCCTATATAGGCCAATGCATGTTCTCCACAAAGCCAAAGATGTGGCTTCTTCTCCGTCTCTGTCATCTGCTCCATATCCACAGTTCATTTCCCCATAAAGCTTTTTGAGACAACTGCATATCAATACCTCCATCACTACTTCATCACTATCTCTATCATCTCACCACCTCTTTCATCTATTTCACAAATTAAATACGGAGATTGAAGAGCCAGCGTCTACCATCGCTTTCTATTTTCTCCCTTTTTCTCCTATTCCACCACAGACTCAAGACGTTTCTTTCACCTACCTTAACGTCGATTTCCCTCCACCGCATTCCTTCCTTCAAAATTGAAGATTATAATGGGAGAGACACATGTGTTGATTGTATCGATGAGCCAATTCTAACCTTGGGTACTTTTTTTTCCTTAAAACAACCTCCACATCGTTTTTTTCTTTTAATCTGTCTGTTCAGGTTCACTATCAAAGCGAAGACCGAGTAGAGCATGACGACATCCCTCTCCATCTCTTTTGTGTCTCAGGTAACTATCCATCAGCCTTTGTTTTGGTTTCTCATTTGTTTTTTCTTTGATTATAAGAGATCGAAATCAGATGAAGATAGTTGGTGTTCTTATCCATGGCGATCTGATTAACGTGAAGCCTTGCTGACATCAACTATTTCATGCTTCAAACTAACAACACTATCTTTTCTGTTTCTCTCCCTTTATACATCAACAGTGGACATTCGGTAATCAATCGAATCAATTGCTGGCGGCTTTAATTGCTTTAGGTGAACACAAACATCTCAAATTCTTTTTTAGGTTTAATTTTTTTTTTGTGCCATGGCGGAATTTTGTTGAATGTTGCTTGTTTATAACTGAATTACTTGATGTTTTAACAGATAATGATGCTCAAAACCACCTTCTTCTATGCTACAAGAATACACTCGTGATTTCTTCACCATCGCTCCATCAAAGACCCCTTTCCTAAAATATTTTTTTATTAAGTCTTAATTGCAACTCATGATTTTTGTATTTTTTTTTCTGATATTTAATAATATCTCTCTCTCTCTCTCTCTCTCTCTCTCTCTCTCTCTCTCTCTCTCTCTCTTATGGTTTTCCATACCGATTGTTTGATTTTTGAATTCTAATTGCTTTTGTCATTTTAAATTTAATCTTGAAACCTAAATTTCTTGAAACTTAATTTTTAACAGTAGGATCAAAGCTTACGGGTTCTTCAAAAAAAAAGTAGTTCATCAGAGTCTAATGAAGAACAAAAGAAGGTATAATCTTTTATTATGTGTACATTTATGCATATCGATTTCTTTGCTAAAAATATGGTATCTTCATCAACATTTAAAGAAAGCAGTCAATTATCCATCTGATGGTTAACTTTCTTATGGCAGACAGAGTCAAGATGATGGAAAATGTCAACATGATCTTTATGAACAACCTAATTGTCAAGTGTCAAGTATGATCAAATCCATAATATTTTTTTATTCAATAATGGTATGTTAGCCTCCCTTACACATTCACTTTTATATACTTTTTGTGGTGTTTGTAGATCGTGGAGTTGGTGCCCTCGACGTTCGTTTGAAGTTCCAGAAGAAGAGTAACAAACAAGCAATTGTTGGTGAAAAGGGATCCTTGTCAGGAGTGCAAATCAGAACTAATGTATCTAATATAACTATCTGGTGGATTAGTGAACTCAGTTTTGTTTCTAATAGTATCTCCAAGAGACCAAGCCTCATCCCCCTCTGAATAACATTTAGTATTTGTTTTTAGGTATATAAGAAAGCCATGTCATTTGGAGAAGTGGTCAGATCAGGTAAAATCTTTTATACTTGATGAGTTTGACAAGATGCTGAAGTCGCTTGTATGCTTTCATATCCATACATGGACTTGTACTCTATTTCATAGTTGACTGTAATTTGTGCACAAATATTGTTTTATTTTATAGTCCGACTTATAATCAGAGTCACAATCTTTTATCATACATAATTATCAACCATTTTTGGAGCAAGATTCTTGTGCAAAGACCTTTTCTTCTCTACAAACCCATTTATAGCCGGTATCAAATCTTTAAATAAACACTGCAAGAAGATAAAATCTGAATTGGTATGGCATTTTCAAGTAAAACGATATTTACTCAAACTGAAAACGCACCAACATCCAATTAGGGTATGTAATTCCCAAGCAAAAAAATTATTAGTTTAAACTAAATACATAAAGAACATGTATTTCGATTGACAATAATGAAATAAATTACAGTAAGAATTAGGAATGAGTTCAATGTTTTTGATCAGATCTAAAAGAATTTATAATTTATTGATATCTTCTTAGGAAGGCATCTGTGAGTTTTTAGTCTGCTTGATTTTGGAAGTAGGACAAATATATTTGTCTATTTTCATTGTTTTACACATGGGTTTTCCTGTTGGAATCCTTCAGGATTGCGGTTTTACGGAGAGTTGGTTGGACCACGGAGGCCATAGATAGCATTGTTGTTGATTTATATGGATTTAATAGTACAAACTTATAATTCATTGTATCCTTTAATGTATTAGTTTATTTATTATATATATATATATATATATATATATATATATATATATATATATATATTATTGCTTGTGTTTATTATGATTTTGTGCAGAAGGATATATAGTGTACAGTTTGTATAAATGTTGGACTGGATTCATAATATGGTGAAGATATGTTATACGCGGGTTGTATTTGACCCATATTATTGGTCTGTGACCCGATTGACTTGTCAAAACTATAAATAAGATATTATATGTGAGGGCTGAGGAATGGACTAATATTTTTGCACTGATATCTTCATCATCTTTCTCTCGTCGTTAGGGTTCTCTGTTCATAGTTTCCTTTTGTTCTTAATCTTTCATTCATGAAGAGTGTAGATTAGATGAGTGAATTGCAGTGAGGTTTTATGTAGAGAGAAGATAATTTATGTAGTGAGGTTTGATCTATAAGTATAAGTGAAAACCTTCTGGTTCTTAATAAATGAGAACTGTTGATGTTATATATTCTTGTGTTTGAGTTTCTTTTGATGGTATCAGAGATGAGTTACGGTGATTTGTGATCTGTTCTTTCTAGATTGTCTTAGGGTTTCACGTCTAGGTCAAGTTAGGGTTTCGGGTTTTTTCTTTAGATCGAGTTAGGGTTTCAGGTCTTGTATCTGGATCAGATTCTGATTTGTTCTTTTTCCTCTTGGGGTTTTTTGGATCTGTTATCAGATCTATAGTTTTTTTCCTGATCTGTTTTGGATCTTGAGGAAATTGGTGTTCATCAACCTGGTTGTTCTCTTGTCACATCTTAAGAGTAAACGATTGTGGTAGTAGTAAACGTTTAGGGTTAATTTTGTGTTAATCCTAACGGCCAACGCTATTACGATGGTCAATGTTAAGATTGTGCAAACAAGGTTCTAAAATCAGGTTAGTTCTGGTATTTGAATGCCTTTTTACGATTTTCAGCGGTGATCCAGTTTCACAGAACTCATCGGAACTGGATTGTTGCTTGTTGAGCGTATTATTTGTGGATCTCTGTAATTTTCGCACACTTCTCCGTTTTTTTGTATTGTTCTTGATAGATCAGTTATCTTCTGATCATATAGTTTTTCACGTTTGTAAACTAACTTGCTCTGGCCTTCTGTGTGATATGAGTCTTGTCTAGTCTATAGCAACTATTGTGGAAGTGTGTGATTGGTTGTTGAATTTTGATTTATTTGCTTATCTTGATTGGTTTCTACTGTAATCATGTCTGATACACCACCTGAAACATCTAGTAAAAATAATGTTGTTGATTTTGATGATCCACTATATTTGCATCCTTCAGATCATTCTGTGACAACTATTATAAGTTTCAAACTTCTTGGTACTGAGAATTTTAGGGTTTGGAAGAGTTCCATGACTAGGGCTCTTAAAGCCAGAAATAAACAAGGGTTTATTGAAGGAACTGAATTAAAAGATAATAAGGATGTTGTTAAATCTTTAAAATGGGACAAAGTTAATGCTATTGTATGTTCTTGGATACTTAACTCTCTTTTTGAAACTATTTACATTGGACATGCTTGTTCTGAGTATGCTTTGGATGTTTGGAATGAACTTTGTGAAACTTATTATAAGGATGATGGTACTGTTGTGTTTAATATTCATCAACAAATTACTAATCTCACTCAAGGTAGTTTGTCAGTATCTAATTATTTTAATAAGTTCGATGGTCTATGGAAAGAATTTGATGGATTAACTAAGTGTCCTGATTGCACTTGTGAATCTGCTACTCATACTAAAAGTCATTGTAAACTTATGAAACTTATGCAATCTCTCAGTGGTCTTGATGACACTTTTAACCAGGTTAAAAGTCATATTCTTATAATGGAACCATTGCCTGATGTTAAAACTGCTTTTTCTATTGTGTCTAGAGAAGAGTCTAATCAGAAACATGGGAATATTTCTGTTTTATCTAATACAAATCAAAGCTCTTCTGCCTTTGTTGGTAAAATTACTGATAATAAAAGGTTTAAAGGAAGAAATCAGAACTTAATCTATAAAAATTGTGGAATTAAAGGTCATACCATTGAAAAATGTTATAAGCTAATTGGATATCCTAAGGATTTCAAACCCAAGTCTGAGTTTAATAGTCTTCTACTTCTATTGTGACTGGTACTACTTCGCATGTTATTGAAAGTATAAATGCTTCTGATAAGTCTGATCATTGTTTTTTAACAAATGATCAATACACAAAGTTAATGTCACTTCTTCAAGAGAAAGAGTTATCAGAATGTGCACCTGCTAACGCTAATATGGCAGGTATGACTTTTAATAATGTTCTTTTTAATAAAAGAAAATGGATTGTTGATTCAGGGGCAAGTCAACATATGATTGCTTCTGAATCACAACTATTTAATGTGGTTGATGTCTTCAAGATTAATCTAAGACTTGATCATCCTAATGGTTCAACTGCTAAAATAGATAAGATTGGAAACATTAATCTTTCTGATTCTATTATGTTATCTGATGTCTTTGTTATTCCTGATTTTCATGTCAATCTATTGTCTGTTCACAAAATTTGTAAAGAAAATAAGTACAAAGTTGTTTTTGATGAAAATAACTGTTTGATTCAGGATTCACTGTCAATGGAGACTGTGAAGACTGGTAAAGAATTTGGAGGTCTTTATTACTTGGAAAATCAATTAGGTAGGTAAAATTCAGTAATTAGTAATCATAAATGCTTTATATCAAAATTAACATGGCATAATAGAATGGGACATCCATCTGATAAAGCTTTAAATGTTTTAAAACCTTTCTTAAATTTTGATGATGAGTTAGTTATGCCATGTTATGTTTTCCATAAGGCTAAACAAACTAGGGAACCTTTTCCTTTGAGTGAGCATAAGTCTTTTAGTTTAGGAGAACTTGTTCATTTAGATGTTTGGGGTCCTTATAGAGTAGTTGCTATTGGTGGTTTTAGATTTTTCCTCACTATTGTGGATGATTTTACTAGAGCTACATGGGTTTTTTTTATGAAGTCTAAAGATGAAGTGTTTAATTGTTTCCATGAGTTTGTTATGTTATTAGAAAATCAGTTTAGTGTTAATCTAAAGATTATTAGATCTGATAATGGAACAGAGTTTGTTAATCTAAAAATGAAAAGTTTTCTTGAATCTAAAGGTGTTACTCATCAGACTTCTTGTGTTCACACTCCACAAACAAAATGGAGCGGTGGAACGGAAGCATAGACATTTATTGAATGTTGCTAGATCTTTATTGTTTCAAGCTAGTTTACCTAAAAATTTCTAGGGCGATTCTACTTTGACTGCTGCTTTTTTTATAAACAGAACCCCATCTTTTGTTCTAAGTGGTAAAACACCTTTTGAATTAGTCTATAAACATGTTCCTGTATATGATAAAATTCGTGTGTTTGGATGTTTAGCTTTTGCTACTAAGTTAAACATTACTGATAAATTTTCTCAACGTTCTGAGAAATGTATTCTTATTGGTTATTCTAATGTTAAAAAGGTTACAAGTTATTTAGTCTTGATAATGGGTTTTGTTTCTTTTCCAGGGATGTGAAATTTTATGAGTCTGTTTTTCCTTTTAAGTTGGCTTCTAAATCAAATGAAGTTTCTCAATTTTTTGAGACTTCTTTGAATAATAAGGATCCCTGGGATCCATTTTCCAATGATGAACTTTTGTTTTCTGAAAATTTTGATGATAATCAAAATAATGAAGTATCAAATTGTAATAGTCAGGATGGTGATACAGTTGTTGATCAACCATCAGGTGCAACTGATTTAGGTATTGATGGTAGTTCTAGCTTAGATGCAACTATATCTCATCCAGAAGGTACTCTTGGTTATGAAACTTCTGGTTCGCAACCTGAGACTGTTGCATGGGATCCCACTAGTAGATCTGAGGAAAAATTTAATAATAATAATTCTAATTCTGATTCTCAGTTGATAGGAGTTAGAAAATCTACTCGTGAGTCTAGATTTCCTCAAAAATTTAATGATTTTGTTATAGAAGGAAAGTACAAATATGGAATTGAAAGATCTGTTAATTATTCTTTTCTAAGTTTTGATAACAAATGTTTTGCAACTAATTTAAATAAATCAATAGAACCACAATCTTATTATCAAGCATCCTTGGATCCTAACTGGGTAAATGCTATGAATGAAGAAATTGAAGCTTTGTACAGAAATAATACTTGGGAAATTTGTGATTTACATGCTGATAGAAAACCTATTGGTTGTAAATGGGTGTATAAAATAAACTATAAATCTAATGGTGGAGTAGAGAGGTTTAAGGCAAGGCTTGTAGCTAAAGGTTATAACCAAAGGGAAGGGATAGATTTTGATGACACTTTTTCACCTGTTGCAAAAATGGTTTCAATCAGGGTTGTTATTTCTCTTGCAATTAATTTTAATTGGAATTTGTTTCAATTAGATATATAAATAATGCTTTTCTTTATGGTGAGATGGATGAATATGTTTATATGTCATTACCCCTTGGTTATAATGATAAAAATAGTAACAAAGTTTGTAAGTTACTAAAATCTCTTTATGAGCTAAAACAGGCTCCCAGAAAATGGAATGAAAACTGTGTGGTTTTTTACTTGAGTTTGGATTTGTTCAAAGTATGAATGATTTTTCACTGTTTGTTAAAATTTTCTAATGGTACCATTGTTATATTACTTGTATATGTTGATGACATAATTTTGAGTGGTAATTGTGTTGAAGAAATTAACAAGGTTAAAAGTTTTTTGAAATCCAAGTTTTTAATCAAAGATTTAGGAAAATTAAAGTTTTTCTTAGGAATTGAAGTTATAGATATTGATAAAGGAGAGTGTTTGTGTCAAAGGAAATATTGTATGGAATTATACATGAATTTGGTGAAGGGTTTTTAGCATTCTAACACTACTAAGTGTACATGCAACCCTAAATACCTTGGATCTATGTTTTCTCTATTATACATGAAAATATGAATATTCCATGGTATTACCCTATCTAGCATACAATCTTTGATACTTGGG